ATTATATTGATCCAATAACTAAAGTTAATTACTATTATTGGGATTAAGGAGACGAAGGATGAGAGTGATGCATTACTGTGTGCAGCTGAATTTGAGCCAGTCAGGATGAATGCAACGGGGTCTGGATCAGATCCACTCAGTTCAGCTCCTTGTAGTATATTTTCTATAAATGAGCTCCATACAACCAGCAATGAACTATGAAGTGGAGCCATAAACACCAATAAAGATAAATGAGGCAACTTAATTAACTTTCAGTGTCTAAAATTGAAGCTAAAATGTTTGGTGTTTGGGGGCTGCTGTGTTTTGGAGCCTGCACAGCTGCAGATGTTGACGTATAAAGCCTGGGCCGTACCCCCCAAATTGCCTGTGAAATGCAAATCCTACAAATACAAAACGTAGAAGAAAACATCCTAATATGTAAGAAATTTGGCAAAATACATAATTTTATCTTTTATTTTCACATAATGACATATCTTTGTTTGAACTTGGCGTGGCCAAAGTGAAACAGGAAATGACATCAAAGGGGAACTCCCTGGTCATTGTTTATTAAAACAATAGTATTTAAAATCTTAATAATTTCTCTCTGATTATGACTCAAAATAATCTAAACAAACATAAAATTATTCTCTATTTTCTGTGTTGTTAGCCATTGTAACAAAACTCAGTTTACGAGCAGGTGTTCCCCTTTGACATCACTTCCTGTTACTACACATGCAAATATCTCAATAACTGCTCATCAAAGTGGCAAGATTATTTATTTATTTATTTTGCAACATGTTATTAATATTATTTTTCAAAAAATACATGCATATTTATTACAAATTTGATGTCACAGGCACTTTAATATGAAAATCTGCCTAAACACCCTTCTACCGTCAACATAACTAGAGATAGGACTGAAACCTGGAAAATGAAGCCATAAAGAATAAATCCCTTATTAGTACAATTTTTAACTTTCCACCTTCATGTAAACAAATGGGACATTTTCCTGACTAAACAATAAAAACACACTTCAGATATATTTCTTATGTGTCAATTTTTGTTGATTTGTATTATTCTTATTTTGCACAAATATGTTAAAGTAGAATTAAAAAATAGGCTCAGTTTCATTTAGTGGTTTTATATTTCTTAGTCAGGCAAAGTTCAGTTTGGTAACATGAAGGGGAAGGACTTGCGCTTCTGACTTATTGTCCTTTGTGGCTTCAACTTCTGGGTTCTGGTCCGGTGTCTGCTTATCATGCAAAATGTCAAGTCAAGTCATATTTATTTATAGAGCACAATTTAAAATGTCAATAGCTATGTTTACATGGACATAAGTAATTGGATTAAACGGCCATTCGGAATAAAAATGTGTCATGTAAACACCCCATTCTGATTATTTTTTGTTGATTCAGCTAAATCCAAAAAAGAATTTGTAATCAGAATAAGACGGTGGTTTATGCCGATTCATAATCCGAACGGTGTGCATATAATCACTTAATCTGTTCATTTTTTTCCGATTGTGGAAAACTGACCTGACTGCGCATGTGCGACTTGTCTACCTCACGTATTTCCGCCTGGCTAATGCTAATAATATTAGCATGTCGGGGAAGCAAATCTGTTCGGTGAGAGACAACATTTCTACTAGAAACTTTGAAAGAGCTCAAAATGATCTGTATCACCTGTAGCTCAGTCAGGGAGTGCAGTAACGTCTCCACCGTCATTAAAACCTGTCGCGGGTCCATTTTGGGCGCTCAGGTTTGTTTACTTTCATCCTGGAAGTAGAATGGAAGTAGAACTTCTTCTTCTGTGTTTTTTTAAGGAAAGTTTACCACTCTGTGCAGGTCAGTACTTCTATTATGAATAAAAGCCCGCTGCATGTAAACGCTCGTCGTGAACGGATTGTGCCCATGTAAGCGATACATTTGGATTATTTAACCTGAAAACAATTCAATCCGATCATGGAATTTTGCACATGCAAACATAGCTAATGAGTTGAACTCACTGAGAGACATAAAAAAGAGGCCATGAAGCAGGATGAGGAGATGAGGGGAAAAAGAAAAGAGGGGAAGGGATGAGGTAAGGAATGAAGGAAGAGGGTGGGGTCAAGAGCACAGACAAACTGTGCTGAAAAGGTGAGCTGACTATAAGAACACTTAGCAAGTAATTAGGGGTGTGGTTGAGGTGTGGACCTGCTCCCAAACCCAAACGTAACATATTTTCTTAATCTGTCATCTTTTATACACATTTTAACAACTTTATGATTATTTATACTCCCATGTAACATTCTAATTTGTGAGCTTTCATGTTTTTATTTTACCAGAGCATCAGCTCTTGTTGTCATCACTCTTTGTTAAAATCAGGTCTCTCTTGTAAATGAGTCCCCAAGGCTCAATGGGATTAACCTGCATAAATAAAGGTTGAATGAATAAAAAAATCTGTTGCAACATATGTTCTGTTAAAAAAAAAAAAGAAACACCATGCTTTAGAACTTTGTACAGAATTATTCCCAGTTGTGCTGCTCACCCATAATTATCAATTGTGACTGTGTGTGTGTATATATATATATATATATATATATATATATATATATATACTATAACTGTGAGGAGTTCTTCAAATTGTGTAAACTTTCATTCAGCCACATCAGTGTGACATTATGTTTTTACTAGATTGCATAACCCTCAAGGCATCAAAAGCTTTGAGAACAGGCAGCCGTAAAGCCATGCTTTCATTGGTTGCAGCTGAGGACTATAACATTAGAAAACAAAGCTGCAATGGAATTTGAAAGAAAATCTAAAAACTAATTTCAGGTGAAGGGGTGTTATGTAAAAATGGGGATAACAGTGGTATAGGATCCACAATTTTAGTGATTTTTCCAGTTTTCTGGAGAAAAAAAAAAGTGGATTGATTTATTTTGCATTCATCCTTCTAAATTTCACTTAATTTACATAAAAAATATAAATACAAATGTTACAAACAATTCTAGGCAGCCATTACAAACTACTGAGGTGTTCATTTGTCACAAGAGTCAACAAATCATGTATTGTAAAACCTGAACATCTGTATGGAAGACAATTAGTGCCAGGGTTGAAGGTATTTTTTATTGTATTTTTTCACTTCTCAAAATTCTTAAATTAAAACACAATTCTGACTTCAATCTCAGAAATTTGAGATTCTGAGATAAAATTTAGAATCCAGGGTGGCACAGTGGCTCATTTGATAGAGCTGCTGTCTCTCAGTGAGTAGGTCACCGGTTCAAATCCCGGTCCAAGACCTTTCTGGGTGGAGTTTGCATGTTCTCTCCGTGCTGTGTGGGTTTTCTTCGGGCACTCCGGTTTCCTCCCACAGACCAAAAACATGCATGTTAGGCTGACTGGCAACTCTAAATTGTCCCTAGGTGAGTGAGAGAGTGAATGGTTGTTTGTCTCGTTTGTCTCTGTGTGTCCCTGTGTTGGACTGGAGACCTGTCCAGGGTGTACCTCACCTCTGGCAGTGGCTGCTGGATATGGGCACCAGTGACCCCCATGACCCGGAAAGGAAGCAGGTAAAAGATAATGGATGGATGAAATTCAGAATTCCTAAAGATAACTCTGAAATAAAAGACATAATTCTAGAAAAAGTAAGAATTCTGACTTTAATCACTAGATTAACGACAGACTTCTGAGGGAAAAAGTTCAAAATTTTGACTTCTCAAAATTCTGATTTATAATTTATAATTTAAAGGGGGACTCACAGTTTAAATATGCAAATTCAGAACTATTAGAAAAAAAAACAACTTTTGTGTATCAGTAATTGGAGTCAAACTGTTGAATAATTTGAATATTAAACTTAAACAATGTCCAAACATAAAACTGTTCAAATTATCATATAAACATATGACTATTGATGGATGTAAAATTAATATTCAATTATTGCTGATGTTTTTGATGCTAGTTTTCTTTTGAGTCAAGTTAAAGAAATAATAATTGTTTATCTACTGTAGTTAAATTAAATAGATACTTTATTGATGGGTTAACTATTAAATACGGGTTTAGTTGGATTATACATGTAATAAATGTAAGATTATTTAAGTGGTTAAAGAATGGGGATTTTGATAAGTTTATACTTCTACCCACTGCCTTGAATATGCAAACTAAAAAGTTTTGACATTATGCTTCATGTTGTATTTTTTTTACATTTTCAAAACAATAAACTAAAACTAAAGAATTATGTAAAACAAAATTGTAAAAACTAAAAACAAGAATCGCTGTGGTCCAGTCCGCTTCCATGCATAATGTTCTTTTTTTGTTGTCGTTTCAAATAATAATTTCATTGCACACTTTACCTGCAAAAGGTTGCACTTCTGTTAAAAAAAAAAAATCTTGCACAACTTTATTTCGCCTACCTTCTTTCACATGAGGAAGTTCAAGGTAGCTGAGGGAGCAGCAAAGACAAAAACAGGCGGATTTGGACAGAACTGAATGCTGTCTTTACTTCCCTCCATGTTTCTGTCTCTGCATGTATTTACAGTGTGGACTGAGCCACATGGAGGCGGACATTTGCGTCTCGCGGCTGTCCGACAGTAACATCCACACTGGCACACAGACCTGACCTAGAATTGCTACTTAGAATTTGGACTGTACCATCTCGCAGCAGCGGAGGGGGGGCGGAGCCGACGGGAAATCTTGACTGGGATGTAATGGAGCAGGACCACTGGAAAGCTCACGCGAAAAAGGGGGGGGAGAGAGAGACCTATTTCTATTTTATAATGTTAACGTGAAAATGTTGTGATTTGATAAACGGCGTGGCGTAAAGTCCAGAAAAACGGATATTAAGCTAACATCCCAGGTAAGCGGCCCCCCCCCCCCCATTTTTTTTCTCCCCAACGCGAAGCTGTAAAGTGTCGCTACCGACGAGTCGCCTCCTGGCAACGGGCACACGCGGGTCCTCCTCCCGGGGACATCTCACTCCGGTATCCGTCCTTCTCTGCCTCTGTCCCCCCTCGAAGCCTGGCTCTACAGCCGACCCACGTCGCGTCTGGCCTGGCAGACAGCGAGCTCCCCTTTCTGTCGTGAATGGCGTGTTTTCCAGCGCAACAAAAGCGGATTATTCACGATGTTTTCAGCATGGTGTAAAACCCGCGGAGCATTATTGGCTTTTTACCCCATTATTACACCGGAGGACCGCCCGTGATTCGTGAAAATGGGGGAAAAAGGATACAATGCAGCACGCATGTTCTGCATTATTCTGGAGCCACACATCGTCGGTAATGTATTTTATCCGTATAAAATATGTTTGGTCTGATTTATAAACGCGTAAAGAGATTATAGGCCTCGGCTTGTGATTGTGTGGAGCAGCCTTATCATCTGCCGAGCGATTTAATTGTTACATTGTTGGAGCTAGCAGAACTTGGAAATGAGCGTTTACCCAAGGCGGGCCTGAGTTGTGTTATTATCCGACAAAAGCCTCAATGATGGAGCTCATTTAGGACGCGAGTGTGCGTGTTTTATTTGCGTGTCTGTGGCCGACGTCGTTGTTCTCGCTCTCATCGCCCGTCCACTGCCTCCCTCTTCGGGGAAGACTTTGTTTGCGCTGGCCGAGGCTCCATGAATGCCTCCCTTCCCCCCCACCAGTTCTCTGGCGAAACAGGAACAACTTCTTTTAGGAAAAAGGAAAAAAAAAAAAAAAAGTTCCTGGAGTTTGAAGCGCCATGGAATTACTTTGTCCGCCAAGAGTTGTCCAGTGAGACGCTGAGATTTCAGGGGAGGGGGGGAAGCCTAGTTCCTGCAGTTGTGTGCAATTTGCAGAGTTTTATAGATGTTTGTAGATGTGTGTACACTGTTTTAGGACGGCTTCCTTCAAGCAGGCCTGCTTGAGACAACTTCTTGTGTCATTGTTATCTTGGAGGGGTGAATATGATGATGTGAGGCTTTACATTTTACCTTTCTTGGAAGGATCTACAGGTCCTTTTAGTGTGGAAAAGTGAAGTAAAACACATCCCTGTCCTAACTTGATAAGAGAAGTCTTGGATTTCATCGTCATCCTTTTTATTAATGTTTTTAAAAGATACGCCAAATTCACAGAGCACAAATTCCAAAAGAAATCTCAGCAACTGTTTGACTCAGCCCTTTACCTCACTGGTTCCGAACTGTGGTCCTTGAGGAACACCATCCTGCATGTTTTGGTTGTTTTCCTGCTTTGACACACCTGGCTTGAGTGAATGAGTCATTAAAAGGCTTTTGCTGAACTTGAGGATCACTGAATCAGGTGTGTTGGAGCAGGGAAACAACCAAATCATGCAGGGTAGTCAACAAAGTCCATGCTCAATAATCCAGGTAATCCAACAATTTTCAGTCAGGTCATCTGGACAGTTTTTTTTGTGTGCTGAAACATTTCACCTTCCATCCAGAAGGCTTCATCAGTCAAGGAAACACACAACACAAAACTGATTCTTCCCCCAACAGCTTACTCCAAAGTGGAACAAACCAGTTATGTTGGTGCTAAGATGGTCTCTTTGGCACGCCCCCTCCTCCGGTGCCGGCCCTCTCCCTCGTCAACAGTCATGTCAAACTGGTTCAAAACCAACAAAGTTCATGCTCAATAATCCAGGTATACAATCCAACAATTTTCAGTCAGGTCATGCAGGGTAGTGTTCCTCGAGGACCAGGATTGGGAAACACTGCTTTACTTGATGCTGTTCAGAGTGAGCGCCTCTGAGTTAGCGGTCCAGGGTTTGTCTGGTCCAGAGACAGTTTTTGGGCATTCACACTGAACTGTGGAGCTTCCTGTTCAATAACTTGAGTCTTAAATAGCATTAGTTTGTATGCTGTTATACTGTTCTTAAATTGTGTCAAAAGTGTTTTTGCTTTCATTGCCAACCACTTTAAAAGTCAAGCCAGAGGTCTTAAAAAATCATATTTTCAGACTTAAACTGCTCTCAGTACAGTATCACAGATTATCTTGTAATTTCTTATGTGCACACTGGCCGATAACTGGAGTATAAATGAGTATCTGGGTTACTGTAGTCCCATAAGACCGCTGCTGTGCTGTGGTTACGTGTTTACTACATGCTGCTCTTGTCAACATGAGTGACGGAGTGCTTTTTCTTGCTGTTTTCTCTTGTTTGTGTTTCACCCGATGAGCAAAGTTCTCTCTTCTGTTCCAGGTGTGAATGACTTGTGGCTGTAGGTTGTCGTGAGTGGGCCAGGTTCCTGCACAGCCTCTGTGGCTGACTGGGGAGGAGTCGAGTGGATAGCAGACATCAGTGCCCAGGGGACCTGAGGCCTGGTTCTCCATATGAGGCCCTACTGAAAGGGCAGGGGGGCTTCTGAGGTAACCCAGCTCCATTTGGGCTCCATGTTTTTGTTGTAGTTTGTTTCCCACTCTATCATGCAGGGTATTTTTGTTCATTTTTGCGTGTGCATCTTATGCACATGCACACAGAAATGCTCATGGGTGACAGACTAAGCACAAATTATCTATTTCATCCTCGTTGCTTTCATTGCTAATACAAGATCAATAAAGATGTGGCGGCAGTCACGTATGTTGCACTATATTTACATAAACCACTTAAAAAATAGTGTACCATGTACATTTCTTAAATGAGCAATCAGTTTGACTCACGAGTTTTAGTACCCAAAAAAAAAAATGACTGAGTCCACCAGGGAGTGATTTTGAACCCACTGACTTTGTAGCATTTAAGTGTGTTTTCACTCTATGTAAAAAGGCCTAATGACAAAGAATGACGGACTTGTTTTTCAGCTTTTTTGTGTTTACCACAAAGTCCACCATGGAAACAAACGCTGCTTTCACAGCCTTAACTGGTGTTATAAAATGATAGCTTAACGGCACTGAGATGGAGCAGGAACAAGCTCTTCCTAACATTGGTCATTATCTCTTTGACATTTATCTATGGACGTGCTTGCATTCTAATGAGAGGATCTTTGAATTGCCGAGCGCTTATCCTGTTGAACTGCTGTCGGTGGTCAGGAAAGTGGTTTCAGGTGGAGGAGCTCAAAGCCGAACTGCTTCAGACTGTCGTTCCTCGTTCTCTGCCCTGCATATGTTCTGGACAGAACACGGTCAGGATGCTCTTCCTGAGAACGCCGTGACCACTGTTTATTTATCTATCTAATCCGTAACGTGTTAACCAAGAACCACAGCGAGTTGAAGGACACAGGGAAATGGATATCGATGTAAAGCAGCACAGGATTTATTTTTGCCTCTGTGTATTGGCGTCTCATGTTTCCATGCATTTGTTTGCTTCATAGGTTTTCTAATTAAAACTTGCAAGGGTTGTGTTGTGTATGACACAGAGGGATATGGCAGGGAGTCAATTTGTCTTTCTTGGCTTGTGTAGTTGGTGGCTGGGGGGGTGGTCCCCTTACGAGTCACACAGTAAATTAGACCCAGTGTGTCTGTTTTTCTATTACTTCAAGTGTTTATTTTCACTCTGCTGGATACTTTGTTCTTGTTATAGTCATCTCATAAACTTTAAAGAGTGTCCATTAAGGCAGCATATCCTATTTCCATTTACCTGGGTTTCTGAATAAGATCAACATTCACAGTTCAGCTAGGATTTTAGTTTATATACTGAATGACGCCTATACAGTAGTTGGGTCTCAGTTATGGTAGTACAGTATTACACTGCCTGGCCAAAAAAAAAGGTCACACACTAATATTTCATTGGACCGCCTTAAGCTTTGATTATGTCATGCATTCACTGTGGCATTGTTTCGATAAGCTTCTGCAATGTCACAAGATCTATTTCCATCCAGTGTTGCATTAATTTTCACCAAGATCTTGCATTGATGACTAGGGACTAGGCATGATGGGTGCATCACTTCACCTGCCTCTCTTCTTACCCTGATGCGCCCATCACTCTGGAACAGGGTAAATGTGGACTCATCAGACCACACGACCTTCTTCCATTGCTCCAGAGTCCAATCTTTATGCTCCCTAGCAAATTTAAACCTTTTTTGTCCAGTTAGCCTCACTGATTAGTGGTTTTCTTAAGGCTACACAGCTGTTCAGTCCCAATCCCCTGAGTTCCCTTCACATTGTGTGAGTGTGGAAATGCTCTTACTTTCACTATTAAACATAGCCCTGAGTGCTACTGTTGTTTTTCTTCTATTTGATTTCACCAAACGTTTAAGTGATCGCTGATTATCATCATTCAGGATTTTTTTCCGGCCACATTTCTTCCTCGAAGACGATGGGTCCCCACTATCCTTCCAGTTTTCAATGATGCGTTGGACAGTTCTTAACCCAATTTTAGTAGTTTCTTCAATCTCCTTAGATGTTTTCTCTGCTTGATGCCAATGATTTGACCCTTCTCCAACAGACTGACGTCTTTTCCACGACCACACGATGTGTCTTTCAACATGGTTGTTTAAGAAATGAGAAGCAACTCATTGCACCAGTTGAGGTTAAATAACTTGTTGCAGCTGAAAGATAATCACCCATGCAGTAATATCCAATAGGAGGCTCGTACCTATTTGCTTAGTTAAAACCATGTGGCAACTTTTTTTTGGGCCAGGCAGTGTATATTGTGGTGTAATGTTGGAGTGACCTGTACAAAACCTCTAGAATTTATTTTGAAACTATAGGACTTGGATCATAAAGAATAATTTTACGTCATTGCAGAAATGGATGGGTTTGTGATCAGTGTAAATATCAGCCCTGCAGCTATTACAGTAGACAGCTGACATGTCATTATTGTCACTTGATACACACACACATTTACTGAACACAATACATTTCCATTGTTTGAGAAGTTTTGAGTCTACCTCAAAAACTTCAGTTTGAATTTTTAGTGTCACTGACTGTTTTTTTTTTTTTACTCTGTTTAGTTTGAATATCCATTTACAGTAATTGTTTTTCAGTGCTCATGTGATTTGGTTGCAAAGTCAAGACATGTCTTCTTTGCCGTTGATGCATTTTTGTTTTAAGGACTTGTTCACTTTGGTGCCAACATGCAACTTGGGTGATCTGACAACAATGGGCATCTCAAAGTATGTGCGTTCTCACATTTGTCCTAAGTTGTAACTTGTCCGTGGATCTTGGTTACCTGTTCTCGATGCTAATAAACATGAAGTGCAGGTCTCATAGTCTAAGTGTGAAACTAGACAACTTGAAAGAAAAAACTGGAGACCAAAATATTGTTAAAAACACATTTTAAAAAGAGTGGGATTATTAAAAGTGAAAACTAGCAGACATTCAGTTACAAATTGTACAAGTTTAAAGTTTGTGACCCATTTATAAAACCTCGACCCCTTCAAACTCATTAAAAAAGCGCTTAGTTTGCATTTTTTATTCACTTTAGGTATGTTTCGTCCTCTCTTTTCTTGCATTTCTTATTGTTTTTAGCGTCATAGTTCATGGGATCGTGTGTGAATTTGTGTGGGAATTGTTGCCCCTATAAGATCCTTAGGGATGCCTCTGGTTGAATCAGAATGTACCGATCCATCTGCTTTCGTGTTTCTTTGCTGTGACTGACAGTCATGACGCATACAGGCTGCAATCCAGGCGAGGGGCCCTCTGAAGTAGAGATGATGTCCTGGGGACTGTTGTGGCTTCGAATAATCTTATCTGTCTATGCAAAAAACAACAACAACAACAACAACAACAACAAAATCAACTTGATGGACTGTAGACTATCCAGCTAACAGAAAGAAATTGGTTAGTAGAAGGAAACCAACAAGTAATGTGGGATATAATGGCCAACGAGAAGCATTTAGCAGTTATCAGTGAGGTATCCAATCAGGCTAGACCACTAAACCATCCAGTATTTCTTTATAATAACATTCCTAAAATATTTAACACATTTAGATGGTCTGATGAGACTCCTTACTTAATTTACTGTATAGTTTTGTAAAAACTTGACGTACGTCACACTCTCCAGAGAGCTTTGTTTTACTTTGAAATCAGTTTTTCTGAGCATCTGTTGTGTCACAATGTTCTTATCAATAACCGTTTAAACGAGAGGAAGCATTTGGAGGTTCAATGTTTTGTTTGTTCTTTGCTTGAACTGATAAGTGATTAGTGTGATTGAATCAGCGATTTGTGGAAAAGTTTCAAGTCTCCAAAATGGCTTTTTGAAAAACAAGCAAAGCCTTTCAGATCTAGACATCTTTGTTTGCACGGCTGAAGCTGTTGGTTTACTGATCGCTCAGCTGATTGCCAGAAGACAATTTGTCAACTCTGCTGGTATGAGAAATGACATTAATGCATGCCAAATAAGTACATTTTAAACAAACTTTAACTTCAGACAAGTTTAAAGCTTTTTTTTTAATTGTCACGGGGAAAGTAAAATTTTATCATTTACAATTTTGTGACATTGCTGGACTAAGACAAGACATTTAAACCAGCTGTTTTTACTGTGTTCAGGTATTTTATTTTCTCAACATTCATCAATCTGCTTTAGTCTGCTAAGTGGCAGATTGCATAAAAAAAAACATTTGATTGGATATCTAGTTGTTTGCTTTATTGTCACAGTGAGATCAACAAATGTTTAATGTTTAGAGTACTTGTTTTTGAAATCCTAAGGGTAAAAATTACCGGTAAGTTAACATTTTTATGTTAACTGTATGTATGGACGTTTGAAATTGTGTAGACAGATCTGTCACAAAATAAACATTTTAGGGCCAGTTGTGCAAATGTAGGGAAAGAGGTTACAGTGAATCAAAAGGTTGGCGGTTTGATCCCAACTTCCCTCGCCACATGTTGAAACATGCTTTCTTTTTTTTTTGGCAAGACACTGAACACCAGTTTGTTCCTAATCTGTGAATTATCTGTAGGCATTTTCACAAAATGTTTCAAACAGGGAGTTAGACACCTTTGCTCAGGCTTGGTGTGATTTATGAATGGGTCGAGGCGGTGAGGGGTGTTCTACAGGTGTGCAGTGGAGAGCATTCTGTGCTCCAGCATCAACATGTGGCATGGAGGCTGCACAGCTGCAGAAAGAAAAGCTTTGCAGAGAGTGGTGAAGGCTGCACAGTTGGAGTCAGCCTCCCCACCATCACAGACATCTACACCTCCAGATGGAGGAAGGGGGCCACCTGCATCATGAAGGACCCCACTCACCCAGCACACACACTTTTTGCCCCGCTCCCCTCAGGAAGGAGGTTAAGGAGCATTAAGTGTAGAACCACTAGACTGAGGAACAGCTTCTACCCTGAGGCTGTTAGACTCATGAATCTCTGCCCAGAATAATCACTGTGAAAAATCACGTCATGTTGCTGCTGATCCGTTTCATGTTGCTGCTGATCTGTTTCATGTTGCTGCTGATCTGTTTCATGTTACTGTGTTCATTCGTGCTCATCTGCTCACAC